GTTGGCCTTCTTGGCCACCTGGGCACACTGCTGGCTGTGTATACCTTGGTATTCTCAGAAAATACTAACAGACAAACACATGGAGAAAATAAAGTATTAGTGTGGTCTCACTGAGTAGTTGGTGAATACTTATTACTGAAGTTAGTAAACTTAATTTTACTGCCTTCCTTGAAACTTGAAAAGTTGGCTCTGTTTAAGTCATATGTGTTGTACAAAATCATGCAAATCTGATAGTACTTTGAACTACTATAATTTGATACCATCTTATATATGGATTTGGGAATGGCCTTTTTCATCATTATCCATGAAGTTGTGAATTGTTGTTTATAAATTTCCATCTAAGTTCAGATCTCGATATCTGAAATGGTACAGGGAATGTTACAAGAACAGTCTACCTTTTTTTGGGGGGATGACATCTGCCGCTGACCTTTTAGTCTGTTCAAAGCAGTGCAGGCATAAGTCTGAGATCAGAAAGCCGGCTTTACAGTGAAGCTGAAATGGACAGAAGATTGCTTGCTCTGGGATATTAATTAGAGTAGATCCTTTGATCTCATTTTATACACTTTGGTTCCAGGATGTTGAATAAAGAAGCTGAGCTACAAACAGTAACTAACTGTTCCTTAAAAATTCTTTAGAGGTGATAACATTTAAAATTTTTGGGGTCATAATGCCGTGTAGTTGAAGCATGTAAACTTTTTCTAAACACTGATAAAAACAGTGTTCATTTGTAACAGTAGCAAGTGAGAAATCTAAAATTAACAGCTTTTACCATAAGGTACATAGTTATTTACCTCACATCATCAGCATCCACAGTATTTTCCCATGATATAGTGGAAGAAGTTATTTTGTTTCAAATCAGATCAAAACCAGGTACCATTATTGAAAAGAGCCAAGATGGCCAATTTACACATAATAATGAGTGATGTGTGCCTAAAACTTTATAATGCTTACTAAAACATTAGGAATATTAGATATATTTAACACAAAGAAAATGGCTTGGGCTAGTTTTTTCTTATGAGTGGGTACTGGTAAGGATTGTTTGTGAATTAGAAGATAGGATTATAAAATGTCATCTGAGCTGTCTTGTTGCCTGGCCCATACATTCTCATGTAGCCACACAAGAGTCACTCTCAGAGTGTACCTCCTCTTCTATTTCATTTGATTTATTTACTTTGCCCTTTCTAATAGAACTGTTTGCTGGAGGGATGGACTGGAAGATGTTTTAACACAATTAATAGGACTGAAGAAATAACACTCTCAACATATTTTTGTGTGTATGGGTCAATGTTAGTGATTTATATTTATCTTCTGTAATGCATTATATATGTGGATCCCAAGTCTCTTCTCACACCAGTACAATCCTCACTGCCCTCCAGAACGGTACTCAGGTGCTATACTAGCATAAAACAGATTCATATCTTTTCAGTGATTTTGCTTTGGCCCCACTTAAGACTAAGACTTGATGAAACACTTTTCCATTCTGATAAAACATTACTTTTCCCTTAAATCTGGAAAGTTTTGTACACTGAATGTTTGAAAGGTGGAAATCTGAAGACATACACTGTAGGGTTTAGGTTCCTACAAGCCATGAAATGCATTTTGGTGAGTTTAGAGTTGCATTTAGTCTAAAAAGACAGATCATGATCACTAAGTATGTGGATGACACAGGAAAAGTGCTAGTATTAGTCAAATATGAATTTTTAGGGGGCACAGTATTGCTTTACTGTGTATTTTTTGTTGTTACAGCTAGCTTTTGTACTGAAAAATAAATGATGTTTACACTGATGTACTGAGGAGGTAGATGTGAGATAGATTGGAAAAAAATTGTTCAGAAACCCAGGAAGTTCTTTACCTATTTTTGAGAAATAAATTTGTTCACCTCTTTGGTGGACTTTTTGAATTATTTGATTAAGTAAAATATGTATTTCAAGGGAGTGTGATGAGTTGGCAATCGGGAGCAACAGTGGGAAAATATGATAGAATGTATCTTTTATATTACATCTTCCTCTCTGTTTAGAGTTTTTTAGTGATTGCTTTTGCTTCTACAGCTCGTATTTCTGTTGCCAGCATTTTGCTTATGTGTTTGCACAAGCACTGAATACCAATTTGGTACCAATTTATGCTGCTTTGACACTTGCTTTGATTTTTCTAGCTATTTGACATAAATATTTTCACTGTTTTATTACTCATTTCGGTTCTGCAATATCCTTTGAATCAGTATACTGCCATTATTAATTTAAGAACACAGGCAAAGAACTGTTAGTATTTATAGCTGTTTCTTTGTCTTTTTCTTTTTGGTGTCTTAGGTTGGAAGTTCCACAAATACACTCAAAGCTCTCCAGATTGCTCTTGCCGATACTGACACTCAGGCTATTTACCTCTTGACTGATGGGAGACCTGACCAGGTATTTCTGAAATGAGAAAACGGAAAATGCGGTAGTATGGTGCTACAGTGATGGTGTCAGAAAGCTGAAGCAAATGTATGAGATGAATATCATACCTGCAGAGCTGAGTCTCTTGGATGTTGTCATAATATTGAAAAATCGTATCTGAGAAATGTGCTGTTTGTGAAGAGATTTTGATTAGAACTCTCAGCTCACAGTCCAGTCTTTGGTGCGTGATAACTCGTGACATTTCTCATGAGTTGTTTTAAGGATCTGGTAGGGCATTAAACAGTAAAGCTTTATGTTAGTGTCAAGGTTAGAATTTGTGTTAAATAAAATGTCTCCCTAACTTGGTACAGTTATCTCATGTATTAAAAATAAAAAAATAATCATGGTCCCATGATATCGTTGGTTTTAAATATTAAAATGCTGCAATCTTGTGTGATGGCTTGGAAAACCTAAAAAGAAAATTATTGATAGCAAAATAAAACAAATCTGTTTGTGTTCAACATTTTTCCCCAAAGAACACATCAAATATATAAGTAGGTGCCTTCTTACATTTGTACATTTCTGTACATTTGCAGAACTTACACAAAGTCTATGTCATGTCTGAGGACTAAGGACCTAATTATTAATTTACATTATTTTCCTATAAAGATGTTGCCATTAATATTGTTCCATTTTTATCCTACTGAGTCAAATTTGATCTCATGTAGGTGCAATTCTGGAGTAGCAGCAGTCTGGAGTTGCTTTAAATTTAGGTTTAAGTGGGTAACAAAATCAAAAGTATGCCTTTTATTTTTGAAAGTCTTGTTACCGTGACTTAAAATGATGCTATTTCATATTATATTGCATTATATAACACCAACTAAAAGTTGGGAAAAAAACACTTGTTGATCAGATATAATGATGCAAATTAGGTAGAACTGAGCTTTGAAACTATAATGCATGGTGAAAACTAGCTGGTATGCTGAGAATGGCATTTTAAAAATACTTTATTTGCCCTTGAAAATTTTGCTTGGTCACAATGGCAGATATGTGGCAAAACTCTGACTTAGGTAAATAGCTGGGCTAAAGTAAATTTAATTTAAATTTCAAGTAAAAAAAGTAGATTTCAGCTGACTGAAATAAAATTAATTACTGAATCATATACAAAAAATCTAGGATTCAGAAAGCATCATGAACTTGCAGAAATAATTTCTTTATACCTTGCTAAGGAAGAAAAACGCTAAAGGCTCACTTTTCTTTTTGTTCTGTTTTTCTTCATAAAAGCAAAGTGACCCATGAGGAAGTGTAGATTTAGATGCTTCAAAGTCATTTGAATACCAAAATGTAAACCTTATTTAAATTAGCAGATGAGAAACTTTGACTTGCATCTTTTAATGTCGTTTTTAATTTTAGTTTTAATCTTTGATATTTTCTAAAGACAAGTTGATTGTTATTGGCTGTCGCTCATTAAAACTCAATTTACAACTGATCAAAACTGTTTCACACTTACTTTTGCTAGCTAGGAGCATATATTCATATTTTATTAAAGAATAATTTGGCTCAATGTACACTTATTCGGATTCTTCATCTTAATATTTTTATTAAGTTAGCAATTAATGAACACTTCATTTCTTTTTACCTAGTTAATAATGGCTTTTGTGATTTATATTATACTTTTTAGATGAAAAAGAGGAAATGACCAAGATTGCTTTTAACTATTAAAGTACAACAAACAAAACATTGCAAATATCAGGAGAAAGCTAAATTTGTCAAGATTTATGACAGTATTCTGAACAACCAAAGTGTTATCAGAAGTTAGAGATGGTAGATCTTTTACTTTCTCACCTAATTTTTATTTCTTCATTGGAGGAGGAACACTAGCTTTCCTATTTTCTCAGCCTCTGTTTTGTTTCCTGGTATTGAATCAACTTGTCATTGAACTAGGTTAGCTTAATAAAGATTTCAACAGTTATATACATTCAAAATATTCAGTTATATACATCTAGTGATACTAAACACCAATGTAGTAATTTCCTATACTTTAGTAATTTCCTTTAAGACTTCAGAAACAGAGTACTGGTTATATTATAATTTACAATTTCTTAGTGTCCTGTGCCTTAATGCATTATCAGTGTTTCAAATTCAGTTTTAAATTAGATCATTTTATATAATTATGAAATAGCAATCCATATAAAATGTTTTCTTTTACCTGATCTATATCTGTCTCTAAGCAACAATATGACTGATTAAGTTCTTACAAATTCTCCATATTTTGATACACTTCCAGATGCCACACGTTTAATACACATTTTTTGATTTTCAGCCCCCCCAAATAATTTTGACTCAAGTCCAGCTTCATCCTAAAATTCCCATCCATACTGTATCCTTCAACTGTGATGATATAGAAGCAAATAAATTTTTGTATGAACTATCTACTGAAACAGAAGGACGGTTTCATTATTACAACATTTATTTGACTGATCCTGATGCTGCAGAGTTTATTGCTGTGAGTATCTGAAAATAAATATGTTTGTTTCCTCATGCTATTGAAGGAACCACAGGACTTGGCATTATTATGATTTCATATTACAATAGATTATTAAAAAAAGAGGGTTGATCCTAGTCAGATTTGAAGTGATGTGGAAGCAGTGGGTGTGACATTTTCTGCTTATGAAATTTTATTAGACCACAACAAAAAAGCCCAAATATTTGTAGTGCTACTGTTGCAACACCACCACCACCACCCACCCTCCCCGGCAAAAGCCAAACCCAAAAGCCATATAAACCAAATTCAGCTCTGGAAGAAACACACGTGATCTCTGCTGTCTCAGAAATAAGTTACTGTTTAAAATGAAACTACAGTTTGTATCCTGTTAATAAATGAGAGAATGCAGACCTGAATTTGAATGATGATAAATTAATGATTCTATGAATTTTGCTAAAAGTTTGCTGTACAATAGCCACTGGGGAGAGATCTATAATGAGTAAAATGACTAGAATAGCAGTGACCTATCAAGTGTGACTAAGCAGCTCAATCTAACAATGCCCAATAGAAAATTTCTGAATAGACTAACAGAAACACCCATTTAAATCATATTCTTGTTTTTAATTAAACTTAACAGTTAATTAGTTCCACAAATTTTAGAAATGGTGGTAGTAGAACATTGCGAGCAACCAGGAACAAGACAGTAGTAGGAAATTTAGAACTTTGCAGACACCGATTAGAAGGAAGATGGGAAAATACACCAGCTCTTGAAAGATCAGAGAGTGTACTGAGCAATTTCAGTGATTCTGCTGATGTGGACTGTGTGACACTGCACATGTTGGAAGGATGAGGACCAGAGTCTGTGTTGTCCATCTCCAGACATCTGGCCCTGTGGGAGTTGTAAAGGGTTCATTGTTGGAATTTCCTTCCTGTTTCCTCCTGTAGTCCAAATGATTCCCTGTCAGTTGCAATGTTTACTTGAAGAGTATGGGGTTTACTTCCCATTTTTTGGGGACAGTATGTGATACAGCTGTGATGTGTAGAATGACAGGACAACCGTTGTAATGCACGTATCTTGTACTGTATTTTATTTATTTACTGATTTATTTGCTTGCTTGCTTGGAATGAGGGGAGCTACTGACCACATTGCATTATTCAGAAATATGGCTGTTGACATCTCAAGGGGTAACTGGCTTGTTAAGGAATGTTTGTCCTTTTCCTAAAAAGGAAGAATATTTTGAAAGGCTGTATTGCCAAGCACATTTTAATCTTGTTTTCTATATGCTTGTTCATACATACAAAAAGTCAGCAAAACACACTTTGATTTATGAAACAGAGAGACTACCTGAAAAGTATACAAGATTATGCAGCTGTCCTAACTGAGTCATTATTCAAAATTACTGTCAGCAAAACACACTTTGATTTATGAAACAGAGAGACTACCTGAAAAAGTATACAAGATTATGCAGCTGTCCTAACTGAGTCATTATTCAAAATTACTATCTGAGCTTGCATAGTTGGAGTTCAGAAATGAAACATGTTTAGGAGTAATTGTAATAAAATATTTTATTTTCTTTTTGTTAGAGTGAAGACATACATCTTTTGAAAAGAGAGATTGAACAAGGAGAAAGAGACCTAGAGAAAGTGAAGACCTTGCATGCTGAATGTCTGATGATGGATTGTTATAATGGAGAAAATGATTCAGAGAATAAGTATGTCCTCATACTGCTATTACGTTAATAACAAATAGGAGCTATCTATTACATTTCTCCTTTTTCATTGTCTTGCATTTTTAACCTCTGACATTCTCCTCTTTTAAAAAGAAAGGTTGTTGGTTTTGGGTATTTTTAAAACCAGTTACGGTAAAGTGAAATAAATTAGAAGCAGAGAGTCCTGTGGAACAATTTCAGATGTGTGGAAGGGCAGGTAGGATGTCCAGGATAAAAATGTAAACATGTGTTTATTTTGGAATTTGTATATTTTATTTTTTATTAATGCTGGGACATAGTTATATATGTGTGTATATACATATGTGCATATATATGTGTGTGTGTGTCAGTTATTTTCATTGCTGATGGTAGGTTTACTCTTTTGCCCAGGATTCAAAGTGGCTATTACAGAACATTCTGACCTTATTAAAATTATACAAGGGTGTTGCCTTAAAAGTAATGGACATCTTTTAAATAGACTAAGAAATTACTTTAAAATAGTTTAAAAAATGAAGAATATTTTAACCTCCTTTGAACTCCCCTTTGAAATGCAGCCTAGGATAATAGAGAAAATATTTTGCACTGTTGGAAGCATTTGCAATGAGTATTTAAATTACCAGAAGACTTCGGCTTAGCGTTTTTTAAACCAGTGATACATGTTTTAAGTAATTTCTTGCTTGTTTCTTCTTTTTGTCACTTACAAGCAGTACTCACAAGCAGACACATACTGTGTCTTCTGTAACCGAACATGTTGTAGAGCTGAGTACTACTCTTAGCAGTAGTCCGTGCTGTGCTTCAGGAGGGCCAGCACTGACACCACATCAGCAAACATGGCAAACCACTGCTGACAGTCCAGCCCAAAGGAAGAAAGCATTATATGCAGGTAAGACTAAATGAACTGTAGTTGTTAGCAGAATTTATTCACTAACTTGAAAAGATCTGTTGAAAATTGCAAAAAGCATCCCTCGTTGTAGGAACAAATGAAGCCTTTGATGATTTAAATAACCATCTTTCTGAAATTCTAACTAACTTTTCATTTTCACTTTTCAGCCATCTTACTCATTTGACCCAGGCAGACAAAATGTCTGCTCATTTATGCTTCATCACATGCCCTGTGATGAAAGATTAACAATTTTGACAGAACGTTTTAAAAGCTCTGCAAGCAGTTTTTTAATAGTAGATATTAAACCCTTATTTTCTTTTATTCTAAATAAGTACATAATTGGCAAGAATGAAGAGCTGATCTATGTTTCACTAGTTACAGCATTACTTACACTAGTATTTCTCCTTACTACACCTGTAACACTACGTTTCTCTTTGAAGTATCCTATGTATGCAGTCTGAAACCAAGTTTACCTGGCTGATGTGAGAGAAGTCTTCATCCTTGGGAATGTACAAAGTACAAATTAGTGCTGAAGTAATTTTGTGTTTGAGGTTGTGTGTAGGCAGTTCCTTAAAAATCGGGACTGGATACCACAGAGGAACTAAAAAATCCCAGGCATGTATTTGAGCAGTAAATTAGCTCTTCCTTTCTTTCCCTTTCAACATCTACAGAGCAAACAAAGACGAGTCTGCTGCGATTCCTGAGCCATAGCGTGAAATCTAGGGAAGAAAGCCCAGAGGAAGGAATATCTCCTGAAAAAAAGAGTTTTTCTGTCAAAAAGAGCATGAAATGTGCAACCATTTTCAAAGGCAAGTTGACAGAACAGGAAGCTCTGGGTGGGGCAGACGATAAGATTTCTCTTGCTGCATTTGTAACTGACAGCACCTAATTTGAGGCAAAACTGTCCAGACCAGCAGTACAACAGATCGGTACGCAGCAGAGATGTGGAGAGCTGGACACACGGGAGGGTACTGTAACAAGGTCCTTACAGCTGTGGCCAGGCTCCTGCCAGTGCCCAAACTATATAGTTTGCAACAGCTTAGTTATGTGCACGGTATGCGGCAGCTGTGATACAGCTATGCCTTAGACTGCTGAAAGGAGATCACAGTTGCTTCTTATTAACAGAATAAATAGATCTTGAGAATCTTGTTATGATACAGTAACAGAGTGTTGTTGTGATACAGTAATTGGTAGTTACGTTCTATGTTGATGTTAAAGCTGAGAGTGGTGGTTCTAATTCTGTGGTACCAATGTAAAAGGAGGTTGCACTTTAGTAATATGCTTAGACTTGCAAAAAAACATGCTCTCTGGGACAGACGCATATGTAGAGACAAAAATATTTCCAATGGGGATTGGATATACATCTAGATAGTTTTCATTTCTCTCAGTAATTCATGCAACTCTGAACTTTATGATAGGTCCTCTAAGTTGTTCTAAAACCTCACCTATGATACTTAAAGATGTTTGACTTTTTTATGTTTCAGTGTCTTATTTTTAGTTCTTTATATACCTTTTATAGAGGTATTCACAGTGGTATACCTTAAAGTAGCCACTCCTGGCCATCTCATTAGTGATAGTACTTGGTATCACAACTTGCATTGGGGAATAAACTGGTTAATCTTTCTTTTGGGTTATAAGAAATAAATGCATAGAAAGTTCAATGTTTTTTTAAAAAAAAAAAATTAGTCCCCAACTATTCTATAAATTTCCTCATTGATTAATTAGGGCTTATGAGGCATATAGTGACACTGTTACTATTGATCAAGCACCAAGAAACACAGGAAACATAATTCTCATTGATTAATTTAGCAACTGAAATAGACTTTATTGTGTAGTCTTTGTGACACTGCTAGTAGGCTCAAATAAAAGATTGATGCTATTAAATGTCAGCTTATTTATGTATACTTTTGTGTGCACAAAAACTGTGAGATAATGAAATTAAAATCTTTCATCTTAGATCTGAAAATGCAGAAAGCTGTGAAAAGGACATCTAAAAGGTATGTGTGTGCATATATAGATACATAACAAAAATTATAGTTTATATTTTTCTTCAGTCATTTCAAACTTCTCAAATGTGTTTCTACCTTGTGCTATGTCTTACAGTCTCTTTTTTCTAGTTCTCTAGATATGTCTTCGGCTCTTTGGTTAAAGACTCATGGCTTGGTTGCTAGGCGACTCACCATCATGGATGCCTTAGCTCCCACAGCTGTCCCTCATGGTACCAAATACGTCCCAGTTCTGGACAAGCATGTAGTTTCTAAAGTATTTGATGAGGTAAAACTCTTACGCTGTTTCAAAGCAAACATAAAACTTGGTACTGTTTTCAAAAGGATTTTTTAATTCATTTCTATAAATGTCATGATTGCATTCTCTAGTATTCATTGCAGATGGTTGATATGCACTAAATGTATAATGCATATCTGAATGTTCATTCATGCATCAGTAAGAAGACAAAACTGATAGTTAATAGTATCTCTTGCAGACTTTACTCTTAAGTTTTAGAGCTATATATTTTTCTTTCACAGTTACCAGTTGATGGCAGTGTGCAGCCATCAGGTGTTCAGCAATTTCTTGAGCACCACAGCCTCTACTGATACGTATTAATTCACTGGAGTATGTATTTTAGGTCCATAAAGTAATTTGGAGAACTGTAGGTGCAGAGTTTGTGGATTTGTGCATTCTCAAGGTTTACATGTGTCCGCTAGACCTTTTGAAAACTATTGGAATTCAGTAATTAAAATTTAATTCTGGTAGGTGTAGGCAACTGTGAGAATGTGCAAAATTCACGATGAATTGTGTATCATGAAGCTGTAATTGCCATTCCACTTAAAGGAGATCCATTTTGTGGCAAGTTGCTCTAATGCTTCTTGTGTGATGCATCCTATGAAAGTCCTATGAATACATTGCAGCTCATTTTAACTAATAAAACCTGTTTCTTTAAACAATACTCAAAGAAAAAGCTGAACAGCATCTGTTTAAATAATAAGGGGTGAGCAAGTGTTTTGGAATAGGATGTGCTACAGAGCTAAGTAAAATATTTATAGTAAATGTACACGTTTGTACATTTTAAAGTTTTCATGTTTGTTTTTTAAATTTAGGACTCAGAATTTTTGCTATAGGATGCAGATTGTGGAAGCAAAACCAGATCCTCTGTTTTAGTAAAAACAAGTCAAAACCAAGATCTTCAAGGATTTTTTTTGAAGTGTGAGAATTTTTTTAATGTTTGTGTTTATGTTTGTCTGCCCCTCAAATTCTATTCAAAGTGTTTTATAAACTGTATTAAATATTCATTTTGCAAATGATGCTGTTTGTACTTGGAGCTACTCTGGGAATTTGTAAGGGAATGTAGGAGA